ATCGATACCACACGTGATCCTCTGTGGTGTCTCTGACTGATTCTTTATGATCAGCAAGGTGTTGGATTTAAGGTCGATTATAGCAATCTTTCCCTTCAAACAGTCCTGAGCCTCCTGATCATCATACCACAGCTTCACAACACCATCAGTGTAAACGCGTTTTTCTCTAAAAACTGGGCCCGACGCATCAGAGTCGTGGCTACTCCACGCCTTGCTAATTATCTTCCTCTGTATAACGACGAGGATATTATCAGCTACCTCTTTGATTATGTGATCTGAACGTAGACACGTTAAGGCCTTACTCAATTTTGCTTTAGCATCGGAAGCGTAGCTGGGTCTTGCAGCCTTCGGTTGCTGTTCGAGTCGCACTTTTTGTTCTCGCCTCTCATCTTTTTGGCTGCTCATTCCTTCTTGCCAGGATGCTATATATGTATATATGCTAATCCATCTACTTGGGTTAGCCTTCTACTTGGGCTGAATTTTTGTCCTTTCCAGCTTCAACGTGGCTACTGGATCCAGCCCCAAACATTGCAGTGGTGGCTACCTCTTTGGTTCTGCTCTTAGAAGCAGCAGGCTTCAGCGCTGCACTTTCACTACGGCCTTTTCCTCGCTGCTTCATATTTCTTTTCTTAGCCTTTGCACCACTGCATACTGCTATAGACCCACCTGATGGTCCCTCAAGTCGGCATGTCATCTTTTTGGGTGTCTTACCTGTCTGTACTGTCTCACCACTTGCCAGACAGCAGAGAAAAGTTCGTCCGTTTCTGAAACTTCGCAAGAGTTTTGTAACTCGCGGTCCCTTGCTCCTTTCTGGGATCCAACTCCTCAGGTTTGGAGCTGCTTTTGGGAAAATACAGCGTGGGGATTGCCTCTTTGCGCTACCTACACTGGATGGTAATAGTCCGTGGAATTGTCGCTTTAATGACGGTTCCTCTTTATTCATTGGTCTATGGTAATCACCTCTGACACCTCTCCCTCTTTTTTAATGGGTTCTAATTCCTTCAATTGTCCTTATATTTTTTATATATTTAAAATTTATCTCCCCGGCTTCCGGCGGATTAGGATTACCGGAAAAATATAAAGACGTGAAGTTAGCTCACAGTGCGACATCGGGAGTTCGATCTAGTTGGCAGATAGGGCTGAAAAGGCCCATCCCCACTGACCAAATAGACTGTCACTTGCTTCGTCAGCATGGCCTTTACCACCACCAAGCCCTTTTCAGGAAAACTAAGCAGCCCCCACATCCCTCGTCTGTGACCTTCTGACGGGATGCTTAGCCATTTCTTTATCTGTGGCTAGCAGGTAAGGCCACTGTTTAGCTTGAAATGCAGACCAAAGAGTACTGCCTCTTGACACTGTATACCCAAGTGACGATCGGTTTAACACTGCTGGACTCCTACATCCCCACGTACAGCAATCGACTGCGAAACTCCTAGCGCAAGTGGATTTGTTAGTCCACCGGATATACCCAATCTCTCCGATGAAAACTCTTTTCCTCTTTTATCTGGGCTTTGGACCGGCTGCACCAAAAAGCACAGGCAGAGTTAAACATTGATACTTAGTATTTAACTCTGCCTTATATAAAATAAATGTCTATGGGCCGCAGCATCCACTTACCACCATAATGCGAATGTGTTCTCGTTTGTTATTTTTATTTAAAAAAAAGTTAACTCATTATAGTGTAATTTTTATTTACGTGTTTTTGTTATTGTATACTTTACAATTTTCGTTTTACTCAAATTGTAATCAATATCATACCCAAGGAATGCCACAAAACACGGTCCTGAGCCATCTGCATCCATAGACTTTATTATTTTATAATGGGTCCTACCCTACACTTCTCCTACTGGTTAGAGGCTGCCACCCGAGAATCATAACCACCGAGTAATCAAAAAATCTGTGGTGTATGGGGGTAATCGAACTTGACACGCTAGCGTATTATATAATTTTACGGCGTGTACTTATCCAATAAGCTAACATGGGACCACTATATCCATTAAGCGCTAACACATATTATAGTCCTAACAATACTGCACGTTACGACCCTCATCAAGCTCGTGACAAGTAACCGTACAATGTTAACAAACAAATATATTTATTGAAAATAGGGACAAACAATTTGTCTAATTTATTATTCTGACATATGAGCCCATTTATACTACTGTACAAGATATTTTTTGCTTTTACTTTTTTACCTCACATGATCAGACGCTTTAAGACCAACAACCCTCACTCCTGAAACCATGCGACGCCGTCGCAGTCATTAATTAACTCATCTAAAAGCGTTGTAAATCATTCAAGCTATTTTTTGTTGTCAGATTTCAATTTTGAAAGTATTTGTTTTTGGTATCTTAAATTTCGAATGTGGTTACTTAATAGCAGACTAGTTAAAAGTCATTAAATTAAGTGGCACTCAAGAATATCAAATAATAATAGTACACTGGCAGAGAGCTTTGTTATACTATTTATTGTATAATATTTAGTAATATAAATAAAGATTAAATAAGTAAAAAATTATAGAGAGATATTATAAAGATATCACCCCGGCTCCAAACACGATACTTATAAGATGAGAGGTTGCCTAAGATTCTACATACATTACATAACACCCCACACTAAGTATTGCCTCTCTTCCAAAACTAAAGAAACCAAAATCATACCGTCGCATATAAAATACAAAATTATCATCATCATCATCATCACTACAGCCCTTCATAAGTCCACTGCTGAACATAGGCCTTCCCCAAGGAAATCTACAAAGTACGATCCTGAGACAACTGCGTCCATCGACTTCCTGTATGTCTTACCATTACGTCACTCCATCTAGTGGGGGGTTGTCTTACACTTTACCTACCGGTACCAGGCTGCCACTCGAGAATCATTTTTCCATGTCACTTGTCTATTGCCACTTCAGCTTATTCATCCATTGGACTATGTCTTTGACTCTGGTTCTACTGCCGATATCATCATTTCGATTTTTTTGACGCAGAGAATCTCCGAGAATAGCCCTCTCCAAAGTAGCAACCTAAAGATTTCTCATCAGGCCAGCAGTAAATGATCACGTCTCAGATCTACAAGTCATCATTATGAACACGCATTGGTTATACAATCGAGCTTTCAAGTTGTGAGGTATACCTAATGAGAAGATAATAATAATAATAAAGGGCATAGGGAAGTGACGACCCCATCGCCCGCTGACGAAACGGTTATGTGACCAAACCGCTACTTCAGCGCAGTCAGTCAGCACCTTGCCAAGAGGTGTTAGTGCCGTGCCTCGGTAAAAATTGAAGGTGCAAAGGCCCACCATGCAACGGCGCCGGGTCTGAGCGTCTCCCGTTAAATGATGCCTACAAAAATGGATGATGGATTTGACTAGAATGCGCAAAGGGCCGCTACTTGGAGGACGCCAGGGCGCGTCTGGAGCTGGCGCTAGACGCGACAGCATGCGAACCGCCAGCCAACGAGCGCGAGGTGTTGCACGATCACCCAGCAGCCACTCGCATCTAACATCCCTACCAGCTGGCTTGGTGTTGGCAGGGTCTTCGCGGGTCCAGCAATCAGCACACGCCACTGGTGGAGTACGCCGCATGCGTTGGACAACTCAAATGAACAGCAACGCATTGCGGGCGTATTTTAGGGCGAAAGGGGGAGAAATTGGAGGTTTTGCGTATCAGGCAAGGATGCATCGACTTTTTGCTGAGCTGGGGCCATCTGTAACCGTCACCGAGCAAAACCTGGCAGACCGAGTTCGGCATATCTTGCGCTCAAATACATTTGATGTCACCGAACTCGAACGGCTACGACGTGAGGCTGTTCCTTCATCGGATGAAAATGCTACGGCTGAGGATGCGGCGCCACAACTTGCAGATCAACCGGCAAACGTGGATGCCGCCGTGAATACCCCAGTTTTGGTTGATTCAAACGATGATGGAACAGTCGCCCAGGAACTGGAACTGGAGCAAATGAGGAGTACATTGGATAAGGCGATTTTGGAAAGTGTTCAAAGAGAGGCAGAACAAGATTGGACTCAGACAGTCACCCTGGAATATACCCCTTCTTATCCTTATGCGGCTTTCCGCAGCCGTCATTCGTTCACCTTGATGACAGAGGATCGTACTCCACTGCCCCATACACTGCTCTAGGAAGTCTCGAACTGTACAGTCAATCTTGTACAGCTCGAAGACCCTCTTTAGCCATGTATGGGGCACCGAGTCAAATGCCTTTCTGTAATCTATCCAGGCGGCGGAGAAGTTCCGACGGTTGCGTTTCACCACTTTGCCAATGACCGCGTCAATGAGGAGTGGTTCCTTGGTTCCACGACCGCCGCCCCGACATCCATTTTGAGCGCGCGACGTCACCTGATTTGAGTCCAGGTGACGAGTGATTCTCGCGCTCAAAATGGATGTTAGTGTCTTGTGTATGGTCGGTAGACACGTTATGGGGCGGTATTTGCTCGGGTCTGTGGCACTCTGATCTTTAGGAACCAAATGAGTAATCCCAGTAGTGAAGAGGCTCGGGAGCGACTTCTGGTTGAGAGCCTCTTGAAACTGTCGAGCGAGCACAACATGACACACCATGAACCCCTTCAGCCAGTAGTGATGCAGCCCGTCAAGCCCCGGACTTTTCCAGTTCGGGCCCCTACGGACCGCCTCAGTTACGTCATCCGGCGTTATGATGACGGGGTCCATGGGCGTAATACCCGCACATTGACTCGCCACAACTTCCATCCAAGGGCCCTCGTTGTGGTTTACGGGCTCTGACCACAGGCTGCGCCAGAATGCGACCATGTCGGCCTGATTCGGTACTGGGCCCGTTCCACTTACCATTGGTCGCTCCAATAAATTATAGAGCCTCTTCTGATCACTCTGGAAGAGACGATTCTGGTTGAACCGTGTCGACCTCTCGGTATATCGCCGAATCCGCTTTCCCCAAGCAGCGATTCTCTGCTTCAGGTCGTCTATGCGCTCCGTCAGTTTTGTATTATATCCGGTTTGGACAAACTAACATTTGTCCCAGCAAAACGCCATCCTGACGGTGCGCACAATCTTTGGCCCGGTATTGCCTGACCTGAAGCATATCAGTTTGCCAATGAGGGCCCTAGCCTTTGCGATACGTTCTTCAATTCTTGTTCTCCAGGCTGGGATAGCACTACTTTGTCCAGTATTGCATCCAGCCGTGGAAAGTTTGGCGCTTATAATACGGCAGACTTCCAGTGCGGTGCCAAAGAGAATTGAGTCCGTCTCGCAAAGGTCCGGGCTGGCTTCCAAATAGGTCACCAGCATTGGTTCAGAGCCCTCACGATAGCCCGATTCCGCTTGCTGAGGGCTATGCGGGGGAAGTCGCGGTCGATTTTCGAGAGGCGTACTGCGCGTTTTCAAAATCGCCTCATCCAATGTACTCCTCATTTGCTCCAGTTCGAGTTCCTGGGCGACTGTTCCATCATCGTTTGAATCAACCAAAACTGGGGAATTCACGGCGGCATCCACGTTTGCCGGTTGCTCTGCAAGTTGTGGCGCCGCATCCTCAGCCGTAGCATTTTCATCCGATGAAGGAACAGCCTCACGTCGTAGCCGTTCGAGTTCGGTGACATCAAATGTATTTGAGCGCAAGATATTCCGAACTCGGTCTGCCAGGTTTTGCTCGGTGACGGTTACAGATGGCTCCAGCTCAGCAAAAAGTCGATGCATCCTTGCCTGATACGCAAAACCTCCAATTTCTCCCCCTTTCGCCCTTAAATACGCCCGCAAAGCGTTGCTGTTCATTTGAGTTGTCCAACGCATGCGGCATACTCCACCAGTGGCGTGTGTCGATTGCTGGACCCGCGAAGACCCTGCCGACACCAAGCCAGCTGGTAGGGATGTTAGATGCGAGGGGCTGCTGGGTGGTCGTGCAACACCTCGCGCCCGTTGGCTGGCGGTTCGCATGCTGTCGCGTCTAGCGTCAGCTCCAGACGCGCCCTGACGTCCTCCAGGCAGCGGCCCTTTGCGCATTCTAGTCAAATCCATCATCCATTTTTGTGGGCATCATTTAACGGGAGACGCTCAGACCCGGCGCCGTTGCATGGTGGGCCTTTGCACCTTCAATTTTTACCGAGGCACGGCACTAACACCTCTTGGCAAGGTGCTGACTGACTGCGCTGAAGTAGCGATTTGGTCACATAACCGTTACGTCAGCGGGCGATGGGGTCGTCACTTCCCTATGCCCTTTATTATTATTATTATCTTCTCGTTAGGTATACCTCACAACTTGAAAGCTCGATTGTATAACCAATGCGTGTTCATAATGATGACTTGTAGATCTGAGACGTGATCATTTACTGCTGGCCTGATGAGAAATCTTTAGGTTGCTAGCTATGGAGAGGGCTATTCTCGGAGATTCTCTGCATCAAAAAAATCGAAATGATGATATCGGCAGTAGAACCAGAGTCAAAGACATAGTCCAATGGATGAATAAGCTGAAGTGGCAATAGACAAGTGACATGGAAAAATGATTCTCGAGTGGCAGCCTGGTACCGGTAGGTAAAGTGTAAGGCAACCCGCCACTAGATGGAGTGACGTAATGGTAAGACATACAGGAAGTCGATGGACGCAGTTGGCTCAGGATCGTACTTTGTAGATTTCCTTGGGGAAGGCCTATGTTCAGCAGTGGACTTATGAAGGGTGTAGTGATGATGATGATGATGATAATTTTGTATTTTATATGCGACGGTATGATTTTGGTTTCTTTAGTTTCGGAAGAGAGGCAATACTTAGTGTAGGGTGTTATGTAATGTATGTAGAATCTTAGGCAACCTCTCATCTTATAAGTATCGTGTTTGGAGCCGGGGTGATATCTTTATAATATCTCTCTATAATTTATGTACTTATTTAATCTTTATTTATATTACTAAATATTATACAATAAATAGTATAACAAAGCTCTCTGCCAGTCTACTATTATTATTTGATATTCATGAGTGCCAATTCATTTAATGACTTTTAACTAGTCTGCTATTAAGTAACCACATTCGAGATTTATGAAACCCAAAACAAATACTTTCAAAATTGAAAGCTGACAATAATACAACAGCTTGAATGATTTACAATACTTTTAGATGAGTTAATTAATGACTGCGACGGTGTCGCATGGTTTCAGGAGTGAGGGTTGTTGGTCTTAAAGCGTCCGCTCATGTGAGGTAAAAAAGTAAAAGCAAAAAATATCTTGTACAGTAGTATAACTGGGCTCATACGTCAGAATAATAAATTAGACAAAATTTTTGTCCCTATTTTCAATAAATATATTTGTTTGTTAACATTGTACGGTTACTTGTCACGAGCTTGATAAGGGTCGTAACATGCAATATTGTTAGGACTGTAATATATGATTTCGCTTAATGTAGTGGTCTCGTGTTAGCTTATTAGATAAACACACACCGTAAAATTATATAATACGCTAGCGTGTTAAGTTCGATTACCCCCATACACCACAGATTTTTTTGATTACTCGGTGTTATGATTCTCGGGTGGCAGCCTCTAACCAGTAGGAGAAGTGTAGGGTAGGCCCCATTATAAAATAATAAAGTCTATGGATGCAGATGGCTCAGGACCGTGTTTTGTGGCATTCCTTGGGTATGATAGTAATTACAATTTGAGTAAAACGAAAATATGTAAAGTGTTAAATAACAAAAACACGTAAATAAAAATTACACTATAATGAGTTATTTTTTTTTAAATAAAAATAACAAACGAGAACACATTCGCATTATGGTGGTAAGTGGATGCTGCGGCCCATAGACATTTATTTTATATAAGGCAGAGTTAAATACTAAGTATCAATGTTTAACTCTGCCTGTGCTTTTTGGTGCAGCCGGTCCAAAGCCCAGATAAAAGAGGAAAAGAGGTTTCGTCGGAGAGATTGGGTATATCCGGTGGACTAACAAATCCACTTGCGCTAGGAGTTTCGCAGTCGATTGCCGTACGTGGGGATGTAGGAGTCCAGCAGGGTTAAACCGACCGTGACTTGGGTATACAGTGTCAAGAGGCAGTACTCTTTGGTCTGCATTTCAAGCTAAACAGTGGCCTTACCTGCTAGCCACAGATAAAGAAATGGCTAAGCATCCCGTCAGAAGGTCACAGACGAGGGATGTGGGGGCTACTTAGTTTCTCTGAAAAGGGCTTGGTGGTGGTAAATGCCATGCTGACGAAGCAAGTGACAGTCTATTTGGTCAGTGGGGATGGGCCTTTTCAGCCCTATCTGCCAACTGGATCGAACTCCCGATGTCGCACTGTGAGCTAACTTCACGTCTTTATATTTTTCCGGTAATCCTAATCCGCCGGAAGCCGGGGAGATAAATTTTAAATATATAAAAAATATAAGGACAATTGAAGGAATTAGAACCCATTAGAAAATATCTGGTACTTTACTTGGTGGAGTATTAAAGGATTTACCTCCACGAATCTAAAATTTTAAGAATATCGCCCCACATACACATGTAAGACGGCGTCCGGATTTCATCAGGGTCGGGATACGATCTTACGGTACGGTAAACCACCCACCCGCCTACTTATCAGCCTTAAGTAGCAGCTTACCCAGCGGTTCTGCTACGCCAGCACACGTCCGACATCGATACCACACGTGATCCTCTGTGGTGTCTCTTACTGATTCTTTATGATCAGCAAGGTGTTGGATTTAAGGTCGATTATAGCAATCTTTCTCTTCAAACAGTCCTGAGCCTCCTGATCATCATACCACAGCTTCACAACACCATCAGTGTAAACGCGTTTGCCTCTAAAAACTGGGCCCGACGCATCAAAGTCGTGGCTACTCCACGCCTTGCTAATTATCTTCATCTGTATTACGACGAGGATATCATCAGCTACCTCTTTCATTATGTGATCTGAACGTAGACACGTTAAGGCCTTACCCAATTTTGCTTTAGCATCGGAAGCGTAGCTGGGTCTTGCAGCCTTCGGTTGCTTTTCGAGTCGCACTTTTTGTTCTCGCCTCTCATCTTTTTGGCTGCTCTTTCCTTCTTGCCAGGATGCTATATATGTATATATGCTAATCCATCTACTTGGGTTAGCCTTCTACTTGGGCTGAATTTTTATCCTTTCCAGCTTCAACGTGGCTACTGGATCCAGTCCCAAACATTGCAGTGGTGGCTACTCTTTGGTTCTGCTCTTAGAAGCAGCAAGCAAGCAGCTCTCAGCGCTGCCCTTTCACTACGGCCTTTTTCTCGCTGCTTCATATTTCTTTTCTTAGCCTTTGCACCACTGCATACTGCTATAGACCCACCTGATGGTCCCTCAAGTCGGCATGTCATCTTTTTGGGTGTCTTACCTGTCTGTACTGTCTCACCACTTGCCAGACAGCAGAGAAAAGTTCGTCCGTTTCTGAAACTCCGCAAGAGTTTTGCAACTCCCGGTCCCTTGCTCCTTTCTGGGATCCAACTCCTCAGGTTTGGAGCTGCTTTTGGGAAAATACAGCGCGGGGATTGCCTCTTTGCGCTACCTACACTGGATGGTAATAGTCCGTGGAATTGTCGCTTTAATGACGGTTCCTCTTTAATTAATAAGTGAATATTCAAAGGCGCATATCGTTGTTACATTCAAGAGATTATTTACTATAAGCTTGTATTTTGAAGTCTGTTGAATTACAGTATTAGTGATATAGAGATTTAATGAATTAAGATGTAGGTTAGGTGGTGTAAGTGTGTGAGAGTAGTATGTATTATTAAAATTTATACAATTAAGAAAAACAATGATAAATGTTTGTGGTAATATGTAGTAAGTTTTTAAATCAACGTATACAAAAAGATACGAATTACTTAAACATTTAGAGAGTAATAAAATTATGTTAAAAATAATATATAAAAATCGAAGTAAATTGCTTAGTCGCGAAGAAGATTGCGACTGCAATTGGTTTAGTTCATTTTCCGAATCAATCCGATGTGATGGAGCACCTTATTTTTTACGGATGAAAACTTCCCCCGTGAGTAGTCCAGCAGTAGGCATAGTAGTTCCTTTTACTAAACTCTCGAGCGATATGGTATAGTTTTTTTTTGCTTTTTGAGTCAGACATTAGGTTACGAAAATTGGCTTTGCGAGTCCTTCAAATTGTATATCTCCTGTGTTTAGTTTTTTAGAATTATTAATTCGGTTATAATTTATGACGGATATTAAAATCTTTTCTTTTAAAATAGCAATTGTAAAGTCTACTATTATTGGCCTATTCCCTCGTTCATCTTCATTCAAGCGAAATACATCGCGAATGAGAGATTCTTCAATATGGGTGTTAATAACTAGACTAACTTTTTATACTATCTGTAACAAGTCATCTTTAGTCTCGTTATGTTTGACAGGGATATTCTTTATCTCAAAATGGCCTGTTTTTGAAATCTCTCGAGATTTTCCACTTTTAATTCAAGGGTCTGAATACAGGCTACACAGACTACAGGCAGGCGTTTTTCTTTCACATTTTATTTTTGTTTCCATTTTACACAATTGATCTTTGATTTCATCTCACTGTTTTGAGATAAAATCCATGGATTTAATAATATCACCATTTTGTTTCTGGATGTCACTAATACTACGTAGAATTTTAACTTGTTGATTTTCATGGGTATCAAAAGATTGTTTCATATCCGACATAAAAGCATATACCTCGTCATCATGTTGGCGCTTTCGGCCACGAGGCCTGCTAGCAACATTACTAGAGCTATCATTATCGGTATCTGTGGCCGTAGCAGCAGCTGAACTCTGATTCATACCCGACTTTGGGTTCTGTTGCGATGGAGAGGTCCATTTAAGTAACATTTTTTAAATAATTAGTAAGTAGTGGAAGACCTTTTAAAACTGACTGCTTAATTTACGACTTACTAGGAGCACAGATTTAACAAAGCAATCGTTTCAAGATACGTAGCAGATTACTAACTTACGAATCACGTAGCGCGTAGCGATAGTAGGTGCTGTAGCATATGTGGGGCGTGGCTTTCCGTAGCGATCGTAGCAGA